GTCACTCCCCGATTCGATCACCAAGGCTGCCCTTTTCTTGGGCGAAGGGACCTATAAAACCAATAGGAATTCGATTGAATAATTACGTCGAAAATAAAAAATCGAAAACCAGAATGAAAACAAAGAAAATCTGGTTACCGATGCAGGAGGCCTCTTCGAAGAGCCTTCCCCCTGTTGGTTGCCTGTTGTCTTCGCCGGCGCTATAGTCTTCGCCGGCGGTGGAGGTTTTGTCGAAGGGACCCCTCCTTGTGGGCCTCCTGGAGCCTTCTTGACCAAAGGTTTTCGAACAACTGAAAGCGAAAAGGAAAGTTAACAAGCTAACAGTCGAAGAGAAAGATAAAAAGTAATGTGAGAGTATGAACTTACATTTCTTTACTTTGTCAAATACGAGGACAAAAGACTTCTGCAACTCTGCTGTAAAGTCCTTCTCGTCGAAGAAGTACTCAGCGTAATAGCTTCTCCACCATTCTTCAAAAGATGGCGAACAAAGGAAGTTAAGCTGGTAGTTGAACAGCGAGAGGATGGTTCGACCAGCATATCTTCCAATATGCTTGGTAGCAGCGTCTTCTGTATAATCGTTGCAGAAGTACAACATTGACTTCTCTTTTTGGAAAATGGGAGAAGGCAGGGTTTGGATGATACCAAACTGGCGAGATACCAGGTTTGGTTGATAGGCCAGCAGACTCAGATGAGTCTTAGAACTTTTAAATCGAAGAGGCATAATCCTTGGAGTAAGGAATGCCTCCCACAGTATGGTGTGCTCATCAACATTGGGACCACTCGATTCCTTGGGATGTGGCCTTGTGAACCAAGCTGGCCCCACCTTTCGCTGAGCGAATGGAGCCATAGTCGAAACAAATTCCTTCCTTCGAGCGAACATCAGCACGAAGTTAGTGAAGGTTTGTTGGAACTCTAGCCCATCTTCCGCAGGCGTCAGTAGAGCCAGCCTAATTCCTTCGATCCGTCTGTTAGCTATCGCTGAGGCTTGTTCATTTATCGGAGTCTTCTTGGGTAAGAAAGACTCGAAAGTGGCGTTAAGCCACAGTTGAAGTAACCAGAAAGGCCCAGCGAGTAGCAGACTGTTCCTATCTTCAATATGCTTCAAAAGAGTAACCCCATTGCTGATGGAGTCATAAAGACTGGCCAGAATTAGTTCTGCCAGACAGATGTTCTGACGGTGATGCAGTTGGGTGGCCAGGGTGACCATCTTTTTGGTCACTTGCAGGGACTTCGAACAGAACACGAAGCGAGTTAGCCATAAGGCTAGAAACGCTATGTGTTCGACGTCGGACACTGTGTCTGTCGACTTGTCATGAAAGTGGTTGATAAAGGTGGTGAATGTTGGCTTCGTCTCAGAAAAGCCAATTTGGTCCTCCGACATCTCTTCCGGGTCGAAGTAATCTCCGGTTGGTCGAAGTCCAGTGATGGCTGCTACGTCGAAGAGTGTGGGAGTTAACATCCCACATGGAAGGTGAAAGGTGAAGTGAGAGTTATCCCAGAACAGCATCGAAGCTATAAGCATCTCTGGGGAGTAGTTTAAACCTGTCTTCGACAGCATTATTAGGTCAAAGATGCCCATCTCCTTCCAGACTGGAGTTTGATGTTTTTCCAGCTTTGTTAGCCAAGCAACATAGTCCTGGGTGAGATTAGGGCAAGACCTAAAAACTCTAACACTTCTGTTGAAGAAACGAAGGTCGATCTTCTCGTGTGTGGGGTCTTCGTTGTCTTCTGGATCCTTCTTAGCACAAGCTACTGGCTTGAGCTTCTCGACAATGGGAAAGTAGCTCTTGATCTTCAGAGCTTCAGAGATGCTGGGGTTCATGGGTCCAGCCATTGCGAAGATTTGGTTGGAGTATCCAACCGGAATCATCAAGTGACGCGAGTAAGCGTCGCGAACGGAGATATCAGATGGTTCAGGGACCCTTCGTTTCCCTGTAGCGTTCACTACCGGAACGGTTACAAAAACCTTGGGTTTAGCAAGTTGTTCAGTTGGTGCGTTAGTCTTGGGGGCAGTTGAAGCAGAAGCCATTGTTGAGGATGAAGATGAAGTTGGAAAAGGAAGAGTTTTTCTGCAAAGAGAAACAAGTTTGCAAGAAAGCAAGGGAGTTTGAGAGATTATTTGCGTGAAAAGTCCCACAATGGGATATTCACTACTATTTATAGTAGTGGGAGAAATTCCCAATAACGAGGGCATTAAATGTCATTTAATGCTGCAGGGAGTAGTGGGACGCGTGGCAGCATCCTGTTGTTTTGGCCGTTTCTGCAGAAACAGAGAGACGCAGCGTGCGTCCTCGTTTTTTGAATTTGTCATAATGACAAATTATGAAGTGATGTTTTGGTTCTGCACGCCGTACTGACAGTGACGTCCTAGGATCAAATCAATGATGGTTTCTTGGGATTGCCAATAGTTGGTAAAAAGCAACAAAAAGTGCACAAGTTAACTTGTGACTCAGCGTGGACAAGCAGGTGTCGAATGGCGTTTTCAAAGAATGCCTTTTTCTTTTCAAGAGTCGAAATAAGGCATTCTTGGGGGGCAATTTGTTGGCTCCTAAATTCGACACCTTTGTTTCAATTGATGACAGCCATTAAAAGCTGAAAGATGCTTTCGACTGGCTAAGCCTGTCGAAGTGACCGTCGAAAGATGGCCAAATACTTAGAAGATTTCTTCCAAGGAAGGAGGCTGATTGCCTTCGACGTCGAAGGAGTTTTCGTCGAAGACGTCTCTTGACGAACGTGTTCGATGGTCCAGAGTGGAGCAGTTTGAAATTCAAAGCTTTGGAGGGAAAACGGTTTCCAGCAGTTACTACGTGCGAACGTGCAAGGATCTGGAGTGTCGAGCATGGAGAACGTGACAAGTGGCTTGATCTCGAAGCAGTGTAACTGCCCGACGGTTACTTGGAATGTTTTTGTATAAATAGGAGTAGACGTGTAGTTTCTCGCGTGTGTTCACAATAAATACATAGTCACTCATTTAGATTCAAGTACCCAGTGTGAGCGAACGAATTGTTGAGAAATGTATGTGTGAAACACCAATTTAATCAATTCAAGTCATTTACTTTTTCAGTATTTTACATGCTTTTCCCTTTAAGATTCCTGTCGAACCTTTACATTCCAGCCTTGTTTATTTTACCAAGCCTTTTCCTTTATGCAATTTACTTTAACCAATTTACTTAAAGCCTTATCCACATTAATTAAACTTCAAAATCAACCTATGTCCATAGGATCAATCTGATCGATCCTGCGAGTAACCAAATAAGTAACTATTTGGAGGATCAGCGGTTGTTTACCAAATCCCCAGGTAAACACCACCACAATATAATTACACTCAAATGCCCCACAACCAACCACAATCACCACCTCAGTACCAATACCCCCATATGCCTCACACCCAACCGCAATTCCAATCACAATACCAACACACCCGCATACCCCACACACAATTTCAGTCTTCTGTATATCCCAATATGGGCCCCTCAACATCCAACCTTAGCCATGATCTGGGAATGTCGGAAGATTATGAACCAACCGACCCAACTTACCATCAACCACGGTATCACCAAACCACCCAACATCCTCAATAACAAACACTCCAAGATCCATTTCCTTTCTACCCCCTGTACTCAGACGATCAATGCTACAGACCAACCATGGAACCCAACCCACCGCCAACACGACAAAACTTTGAGGGTATGGGTAACCGACTGTACCAAAGCGGATCTTCTAGATATGGAGATCTGACTGATTTCATGGATCCGGAACGCATTGACTTCGTTGGACCATCGACCCTGCCATAGCAGGAAACGCGACGACACCCACCACGGGAAAGGCGAGGACGGGGATGCGGAACCGGGGGTCATTACCGGGTTCCGGGGGACCACTGATTAATCTGTTTTTTTATTTAATCTGTTTTTTTTATGTAATGCTTATGGGTGTAATTATTTTTGTAAATAAAAAGTCAATTTTGTTGATCTTATATCGAATACGTAACGCACCGGATTGAAAAAAAAACGCGAAAATTGCCCTAGCAAATGCTCTAAGGCGCCATCTCACTTGGCTTAGGGCAAGCCCTAAGCACCTAGGCGCCAAGTGAGATGGCGCCTCCCCTTAAAAAGTAGGTGTAGACGCCAAGTGAGATGACGCCTCCCCTTAAAAAGTAGGTGTAGGCGCCAAGTGAGATGGTTCCTCCTTTGCGGAATCATCTGAAACATGATTATTTGCGTAATTTTTTCCGAAACATGGTTATTTGCGAAATTTTTTTTAATACCTGATTATTCCAAAAAAAATTTCATAAATCAATGCTTTTATTTTTATAATAAATAAAGGTAGCGTTAAATAAAGAAATGAGTTATAATGATCCTAGTTTAAAAAAATACTAACATTAATTATAGTGATAATTGGCGGTGAAAAAAAAATTATTAACATTTGATTATATTTTGTTGAGTCATTATTTGCTTAAATTAACATATTTTTATTTGTCAAATTATATTATTTATAAAAACTATTTTAGTCTTATAAAAAAAATATAAGGTAAAATTATTGAATTTGGGTTTTTGCAATAATATATAAAAAATTAAATATAGAAAATGGTACTAGGTAAAATAAAATTACTAACATTTGATGACGACATTTTGAATCAACATTGGCTTAAATTTATATACTTTATTTTGTCAAATATAAGGTAAATTATTTATAAATGAAAATTTTATTATATTTTAATAACATTTTAAGTATAATAAATTTTAGTTGGATTTGGTTATTTTCAATAATATAGGAAATTTTAAATATGGAAAATCAGTTTTAATGGTAATAGTTAAAATAATAGTACTAACATTTGATGACAGCTTTTTGAATTAAAATTTTCTTTAAATTAATATATTTTCTTTATCAAATATAATGTAAATTATTTATAACAAATATAATAATTTTAAATAATACATTTCTCAAGTCTATATATAATGGAAATGAGAAATATAAGATAGAACTTGAACAGAAAAAAAGAAATGGCTTTTCACAACTATCAATCTTATCTTCTAGGTGTTTCATGCATTGCTTTGGTATTGGTTTCAGGTGATGAGAAATATTTTTCTTTTAATATCTTTCACTTGTATATTTCATAAGCAATTTACTAACTTATATTTTGATTCAGGATTGGTTACTAGTTTGGAGACTCCAGCATTAGATCTAGATGAATCATGTGCTCCGTTATGGCCATTAGCATATTGTTGTTCTGCGGCTTGTACTCCAAACTGCGATCGAGACTGTAAGAACAAAGGATATAAAGCTGGACAGTGCGAAACTTTTGGTGATACTCTATGTTGCTGTGTTAGGTCATGAGTTTTGTTCCTTATAGAAAATGAAAATATGACACAAATGATATTGTATCACTTTAATAAATAAAGTATCAAATAAAATTCAACTTTATGTCTTACAAATTTTTCTTGCAAGTTGTGTTTGAGCTTGATAGTGCATAAGAATCAATGATGAATAAAAATGAATTTAAGAGAGGAAAGAGAATGACAGCCGTAAAAGCTGCAAGAAGAATAAAATGTTGTGTGTTATAACATTTACAACTATTCTATTTATACACAAAGAAAGAGAAATGCCACATATGCATTAATAGAACAGACTTAATGACTAAGTTATCAAAACAACTAGAAATATTAAAATGACTTTTAATACCATTCCTTAATTTATGATTTCTAATTAAAAACTAACTACACCAATTTCATTCCTTAAGCAAAGAAATTGATCTGTCTTGATTGCCTTTGTCATGATATCTGCCAGCTGCTTCTAGTACTCCGTTCTAGACTTGACTTATAAGAAAATGATATTTTGTCTCAATATGCTTGCTTCTCCCATGTAGTAATGGATTCTTGGCAAAATTGATTGAAGACTTGTTATCAGTCATTAGCTTCAGACGCTTATCTATGTTGATCTTCAGATCCTGCAGTAAATTCAGAAGCTACACAGCTTGACATGCAGCTATAGCACCTGCAATGTACTCAGCTTTACAAGTTGATAGAGTAACAACTGATTACTTCTTGGAACGCCAAGAAATAGTACCTCTCAGAAACTTAAACAAGTATCCAAAATTACTTCTCCTATCAACTCTATCTCCACACCAATCAGAATCAAAGTAACTCATCAATTTTGAATTTGTTTTTCTTCCAGAAGGGAATAATACTCCAAACTTCAGAGTTCCCTTCATATACCTCAGAATCCTAATAGTAGCTTGGTAATGGGACCACTTAGGTTTACTCATAAACCTACTAACCAATCCAACTGCGTAACAAATATTTGGTATTGTATTACACAAATACCTTAGAGAACCAACCAACTATTTGAAGGTTGTAGCATCCACATCTTCACCATCAGAGCCAGAATCCAATTTATGATTGGTTTCTGATGGTGTCACAATAACCTTGCAATTTTATAACCTAAATTTCTTCGGAAGCTCAAGTTCATACTTCAACTGATGCAAAATGATACCTTTCTCAGAGTACAAAATCTCCATCCCTAGAAAATATACCATATTTCTCATATCCGTCATCTCAAACTCATTCATCAGAGTCTTCTTGAACTTGACAACTTCTTCAGAACAACTTTTCGTCAGCAATATGTCATCCATATAAAGACATACCAGAATCATATTGCTTTCAGAATGTTGAACATACACGCCATACTCCATCTCACACTTCTGAAAAACTTTGTTTCTTGAAAAATGAATCAATATTCAAATTTCAAGCTCTGGACGCTTGCTTCAATCCCTATAGAGATTTATGTAATTTGTACACCATCACTTCCTGATTCTTTTTCACAAATACAAGAGGTTGTAACACGTATACGTCTTCTTGTAATTGACCATTCAGAAATGCAGACTTCACATCCATATGCATCAGATGCCAATTTCTATTAGCAGCTAAAGCGATCACGAGTGTAATTGTTTCACGTCTAGCTATAGGTGAAAACACCTCAAAGTAATCTAGCTCAGGTTTCTGAAGAAAACCTCTTGCAACTAGTCTTGCTTTGTGCTTGCCAATTGATCCATCTAGCTTAAGCTTCACATTGAAAACCCATTTGACGTTGATGGCTTTCTTCTTATTTGGAAGCTTAGTTAACTTTCAGGTCTTGTTTCTTTCTATAGCCTCAAGTTCTTCTTTCATGGAATTCAATCATACTTTTTTCTTGAGAGCTTCTTCAACACTCACAGGTTCAGAGTCCACTAACATGGCACACTGAACAATTTCTCCTTCTAAATCTACTTCAGTATCTTGCAACATTTCAAACTCTTCAAACCTTCTTGGTATTCATCTTATTCTTTGTGGCCTCTGAACTTGTTCAGAAAATATTTCTAATTCTAGAATAGTATCATATACTAGACCGCCATCATAAGTTGGATCGCCTTCAGAACCTTTACTTTGTGAAGTTCCACCCTCATAATCATGACCTTCACCAGAAACATGATCATCTTCAGAAGCTTGTCCCCCAGAACCTACGTTTTCATATTTTTCCCTTCCAGAAGCATGACCACCACCAGATTTTGGATCATCATCAAAATCTGGATTAGAATCAGATTCACCATCTGACTCATCTTTAGAGTTTCTAGAACCATCAACTGACTCTGACTCTTCTTCAGAACTATCAAGCTCTTGCTTATCTTCAGAAATAGATTGAGACTTGCCCTAGTCCCATACTTCTTATTCTTTTACAATGATGTCTTTGCTAACTTCAACTTTATTCGTTTCTGGACAATAAAGCTTATAAGCACATGTATTGTGGTACCCTACTCTGTCATCCTTCTTCTTCCTTCTAGCTTCTGGAACGTGTTTGTAACATACAGAACCAAACACCTTCAGATGAACAACACTTTTCTTGTCTCCAGTCAACTTTTCTAAAGGAAAAATTTCCTTCAACTTCTTTGTTGGACACCCGTTGAACACATATGCTGACTGGCTACAGCTTCTCCCCACAAGTTATGAGGTAGCTTCTTCTCTTTCAGCATGCTTCTGGCCATATCAAGCAAAGTACAATTTCTTCTTTCAGCAAGACCATTGTGTTTAGGAATATAAAGAGCAATAACCTCATGCTCAATTTCATTCTCATCATAAAATTTCAGGAATTTTGTAGAGTTATACTCACCTCCACCATCCGTTCTGAGAATCTTCAGCTTCTGACCACTTTGTTTCTTAGCCTTCACCTTGAACTTCTGAAGCTTGGTAAACACCTCATGTTTAAACTTTATGAGTGTTACCCACTTCAGTCTTGTGAACTCATCTACAAAAGACACAAAATATCTATTTCCTCCAAGTGAAGGTTCTGGAAATGGTCCACACACATCAGAATGCACTACTTCCAAAGCATGTTTTGCTCTTGGGGCTGCTTCTGACACAAATGGCAATATGGGTTGTATGCCTTTCATGCATATCTCACATGACTTCTCAGGCTTCACAATTTTTGGAATGTCACACACGAGCTTCTTAGAACTCAGATGCCATAAGCTTATGTAGTTCAGATGCCCTAACTTCTTGTGCCACAACTTACTATCAGCTTTAGCGTCTTCTGAACTAAGACATTTTGCTTATGCTGTCTCCATCTTCACCTTGAATGTCTTGTTGCTTACTTGTTCTGATTGCATAATCAGCTTCTGATTAGCATCATACAACTTCTAGAGGTGTCCTTCATAATAACTAAGGAACCCTACTCAATAAGCTGACCCACACTCATCAAATTGCTTTTAATTTCAGGAACATACTAAACATCCTTGATCAGAACGGTTTTCCCATTATTCACTTTAACTTTTACATTTCCCATACCTTCTGCATTAAGGTATTTATCATTAGCACGTATGATTTTTGTCCTCCTTCTGGAGTCAAAATCTATCAGCCATCATTTGTTTCCAGCCAAGTGATTTGAATAGTCTGTGTCCATATACCACCAATCTGCCAAACACCTTCCATCAAACCCAGAAGCCATTAATAGCACAGGTTCATCATTTGAGTCCCCTCTGGCTATATTTTCTTCTTGTGATTTCCTTCCCTTATTTGACTAACAATCTTTAGAAAAATGGTCAAACTTCTTACAACAATAACATTGAACCTTCTTCTTATCAAACTTCTCCTTTCCCATTTGAGGTTTCTTCTCATCAGAGGTAGAAGTTTCTGATTTTGGGAATCTATCACCACGTCTATTCTTGGTTTCTGACCAAGAATGCTTCTGGTCCTTCTGTTTACCTGGGGATTTGGTAAACAACCGCTGATCCTCCAAATGGTTACTTATTTGGTTACTCGCAGGATCGATCAGATTGATCCTATGGACATAGGTTGATTTTGAAGTTTAATTAATGTGGATAAGGCTTTAAGTAAATTGGTTAAAGTAAATTGCATAAAGGAAAAGGCTTGGTAAAATAAACAAGGCTGGAATGTAAAGGTTCGACAGGAATCTTAAAGGGAAAAGCATGTAAAATACTGAAAAAGTAAATGACTTGAATTGATTAAATTGGTGTTTCACACATACATTTCTCAACAATTCGTTCGCTCACACTGGGTACTTGAATCTAAATGAGTGACTATGTATTTATTGTGAACACACGCGAGAAACTACACGTCTACTCCTATTTATACAAAAACATTCCAAGTAACCGTCGGGCAGTTACACTGCTTCGAGATCAAGCCACTTGTCACGTTCTCCATGCTCGACACTCCAGATCCTTGCACGTTCGCACGTAGTAACTGCTGGAAACCGTTTTCCCTCCAAAGCTTTGAATTTCAAACTGCTCCACTCTGGACCATCGAACACGTTCGTCAAGAGACGTCTTCGACGAAAACTCCTTCGACGTCGAAGGCAATCAACCTCCTTCCTTGGAAGAAATCTTCTAAGTATTTGGCCATCTTTCGACGGTCACTTCGACAGGCTTAGCCAGTCGAAAGCATCTTTCAGCTTTTAATGGCTGTCATCAATTGAAACAAAGGTGTCGAATTTAGGAGCCAACAAATTGCCCCCCAAGAATGCCTTATTTCGACTCTTGAAAAGAAAAAGGCATTCTTTGAAAACGCCATTCGACACCTGCTTGTCCACGCTGAGTCACAAGTTAACTTGTGCACTTTTTGTTGCTTTTTACCAACTATTGGCAATCCCAAGAAACCATCATTGATTTGATCCTAGGACGTCACTGTCAGTACGGCGTGCAGAACCAAAACATCACTTCATAATTTGTCATTATGACAAATTCAAAAAACGAGGACGCACGCTGCGTCTCTCTGTTTCTGCAGAAACGGCCAAAACAACAGGATGCTGCCACGCGTCCCACTACTCCCTGCAGCATTAAATGACATTTA